CTTTAGTCGATAATGTCTTGAGGATATTTTTTATATATATGGAAGTTGAATGTTACCTGTCCGCTGGGAAGGTTTCGGATGGGCTGGTTTGAGCCATGGGATATACCTTCTTTCCATTGGCCTCTTGAGCGCCTGGTGCAATATGAGTTTACTCTACTGCTGCAAGTGCTGGGTCGCTGAGGGTAGGGAGAGGTATGGGATTCTTTGAGAATGAATATTTGGGTAGGGAATGAAATGAGTATACAAACCGTCGTTTCATTTCCTTGAGTTTCCGTCGCACACGTTCAGTTTTTCGTCGCTTGCAAAATCCCCATCAGCGCTCTTCTGCCTCTGATAACTCCGTGGAAAGGTCACAGTCGATACTTTGATCTGCTGTGCCCTATCTAAAAGACCAGGTATCGTTCCTCAACCCCGACATGATAGCCATCGGTCATATGCGTCTTCCACCATCTACAAGAATCCATCTGCAAGCCTCGCTGTCTAGGCTCTGCCCGTCCAGGTTCTTGCGAGTTTTATCAAAGAACCTATGGCCTTGGGAAGCCTTCCCGTTCCGGCGATGTCCGTATCGATAGTACAATGGTCTGCTAGGGCGCATCATCACTTTCAAAGGTTGTGTCGACTAGATACGCAGGTGTTGTCAGGCAGTTGCCAAGCTTTGGTGAAAATCCTTGTAGCGTCAGCTTCGGGCAAGCACTATCTAGGTAGGTATGTTCGTCTGGGTGTCTAATGGGTACAGCCTCGACTGTCTACCCAAATACTGCGGAAGACTCTGTGTGGATGGAATTCGTCAGCCGAGTGCCACACAATTGACAGACCGATCCGCGCGGTGGCAGGGTTATTGCACTTCTTCTGCGAGTTCGCCTTCTTTCTTCACTTCCAAGCCGCCTGTAGACATTAAGTTGGCGGGGTTTTGGGAATCTGTCATCCGATCTGTGTGAGGAATCTAGGTCTCCCTTTTTCTGCATGTTCGCCTTCTTTCCTCACTTCCAACTATCCCGCCGACCTTCGATTGGCCGGCTCTTTGGAAAACTGTCATCCGACCTGTGTGGGAAATTTAGTTCTCATTTCTTCTTCCCTTCCAATTCCCCCAAAGGCTCTCATTAGCGAGTTTCTTGAAAAGTGTGAGCATCGGCTTTCGTTGTCATCGCGGTCGTGGTCATACAGCTTCTCATCAGCTGGGATCGTGCAGTAGCGCTCCGCATTCGGCAGCCTGGCTTGCGAAGACCTCTGAATTGTTTCGCCCTTCTCCAGTCTAAGCGCGGCAGAATTTAGCTAAGTAGCCAAGCGAATGGTCCTATCAAAATGCAGGGTACTCTCAACACAAATGCCTTAGGATAGAACGAGGTACCTATCTATACCGACTCTACTACTTCTACGGTCCCGCGCGCATTTGCTCGAAGCAACCTTTTGTCTTGATCCCTTCGCTTTAACACATACTACCATTGCTCCGCAGATCAATTCGGGCCAAATAATCTAGCGTCAATACTACACAAAGCTGTCAGAATCAAGGTTGGTCAAACGATTTTAGCATCACTAGCGTAGGATTGGTGAATTGCGCTAGGGTGTAAGGTCTCATGCACTGAGCCGAAGCTTACTTCCCCATGCAAGCGGCGACGCACGAGCCGAAGCCTTGGCTAAGCCAATCACACTGGAGTTGGTAGAGTAAAGATTGGGTCGGCTCGGGCTGCCCCAGCCTTCATTAGGGTTCATTTTCACCGTGGTCGAGTTGCCCATTCCTTCATACTTCGGTCTACACACTTCTTTGTTCGCGAGCAGTACTGCACATCATCGTTGGGCCGACTACCATAACAGATTTGGCATCTATCAGGAATTGGTACTTACTGTTTGTCGACAACCCTGTTCTGTTTCGCGCTTAATATTTCGTGCCTGGAACACTCAATCTGTACCATCTCGCTCTGCAGCAGCTACAATTCATACCTTTACATCTGGTCCAAAGCCATGGTTACGAACAGTAAGTACCATTGCAGCATCTTCCTGAGTCCAAAATCTTTTGCAAGGAGGTTATGGCTCAATGTCACGTAGGGTTCGAGGTGGCTCGTGACGGCCTTGTGGGATACGCTGACCTCGTACAGTGGCACATCCTCCCACCGATATCGTTGTCGAAAAGGATAATGCATGGTCCAAAGAATCCATCGTCGCCGTAGTCACCTTAATCGTCATGGTGATACTGTCTGGTCTCGGTATAGTATTCAAGAACCGCTTGAGGACTTCAAACTTGTGGATGCGGTACAGATCGCAAAGGAGAGACGTGGATGGTATGCATCAAACCACTACTTGGCTCGTTCAGTAATGCTGATACTTTGTAGAGGAAGAACTTGCAACGCTCCGCGCTAGGTCGATGGCTTCCGGTTGGGTTGGCATCGAGGCCGTTCGGCGGTATCAGCAGGATACTTATACCTCAATACTCCGGACGAGGCGCGGACCACGGTCATTGCGAGCGTCGAGCCGAGTAAATGACAGGGGTGTGTGATGATGCAGAACATCTGAGCTGGAGCAGGCCAGACGGTCGGATGTGGCAGACTGTACGACCTAATTGGCTCCAGCTTATGCAACGGGTCGCTTTGAGTTGGAGAGGAAGGAAGCGCGAGGCCATGCCAGTCGGGTCACACAAGGCGTCAGCGGTGGCGTCACTGCAGCTCTTTTATGCCACCGAAGCGAGTAAAGGTTTTGCACAGCCTCACCCGAGTACCTTTCTGCCACCAAAGCGAGAAAAATTGTCGCACCGCCTCACCCAAGTTCTTCTCTGCCTTCACAATATTTGAGCCACGCTTGCGATGCATGATGACCATGTTCTTTTCTTCCCAGACATTTCTAAACGTTAACTGTAAAGTGTATGGTTTACAAACAAGCATAACGCTGGGTATCGTACGTCTTACCTGCTCATATGTGAGACCATGATGGGATTAGTTTGCGGGTACCTAGGTAATGTCGGGCTTTACCGTTGTGGCGCGTCATGTCACATGTCGCTGCCTGAGGCCTCACAGCTTGACCGAGATCCAGAGAGACGACTTCTCGAAAGTCTTGTGAAATCATCAATGAGGGTTGGACACTACGTAATTCGAGCCTCGTGCTGACGGGATGCTGTTGGGTGCAGGTCTGAGCACATCACCTTCTGCACTGCCCTAATGAAGTCAGCCGTTCGCAAGGCCTCGATGACCTTATTTTTGGTGTACGGGTATACCAGCCTGATGTACATCCGAGCATGATGCAAGACGCCATCGAAAATACACCGGTAGTAGGGTGCAGGTGATGTGGCGGGCCAACTCTAGAAAGCGTTAAGCGCGAGAAGTCAGTGTCAAATCAGAGCCCATGCCCTCTTATGAGTCGGTATATCCTGAACGGTGAGGCGCTTTCGAACACTTCGTCGACGTCCGGACGAGGTATGGCCTGAGCCAAAGTTGGTTAGCACACCTGGGCAGTTTGTTGTCAAGCTTTTGGGCCAATGAGCGCACAGAATGCTACAGTCTCCATCTCTGTCCTCGGCGCGGTCGTTGATTCATCTTCAGATCCTATATCTACAGGCCACTGGACTTAGAAGATCAAACACGACGCTTTGCATAACCCTCCATCATATACTCGCCGCAATATACCCTCTGGCTGTTTGAACATCTGACTAAATCAGCCCCAACAGCACAGTGCCCTTCTGCTCTTGCAAAGAGCACACCGCAATTCTTTTCTTCTACTTATCACCTGTTGCTGTTTAAATCGTCCAGAAGAACTCTACGGTAACCCGGCTTCCGTCTCATAGACAGCTATGAATAGTATGTCGGCTTTCACACCATGGTTTTGTCTCTTCACGTTTTCGCATGGGATAATGCACATAAGAAGGCCCAAAATTCCTGACAGCTTCTAGTATACTGACCTTTCTAGTCACGCGACCCTTCAATACCGCCGAGCCCAAACAGTCCTGGTCTAGAGAGGCGATATTCGCCCTGATCACCATCTTCGTTATGGTGCTGTTCTCAAGTATAGGTATGGCTTACAAGCATCGCTCCAAGATGCACATGCTCTGGAAATGTTGCCAAGGGGCCAGAACGCTCATGCATGGTATGCGATACACTGTCTATTCACTTGACAACCCTAGCTGATGCTGTACAGACGAAGAGTCAGTAAGAATCCGAATGAATTCAAGCAATCCTGGCTGGGTTGACATCGCAGACGTTCGACGGTACCAGCAAGACGAATACACATCAATTCTCCGGTTGAGACGGGGGCCCAGAATGTCACGGTCTTCTAGTCGAGTATACGGAGGGCGGTGGTAGAGACTCGGGTCGTTTCGAGCTGTTGATTGGCATAAGAGATGGTGATTTGAGGACTACAAGTACTAAATGTTGGCTTGTTGCGCGAATTGGATGGCGTCTGGCAAGCAGCATGGGTAAACTGTTGACGTTGGCTTGCGGACTACCCGCATGGAATTTGAAGTTCTTGCGAAAGTTTCCTTAGGTAGTTGTGCCCGGCAGATATGATCTCTCCTCGTCAAGAGTCGGAGAAGAAGGCAGGCCGGAACATTGATGCTTTTAACTTTTGTATGGAAGTAACCCTAGAATCGTTAGATCTATCGAAATGTACGATTGGAATGCTTGATAAGATATGTATAAAATGATAGCTTTCTTCCAGACGCAAAGTCTCTGCTGTCATTAGACTCGCTGGTTGAAGGGGTTCGACCTTGTTGATGGTCGCATGTTTGGGTGAGAAAGTTGACTGCGCGGCACGACAGAAGGCGGGGGAGGAGGCTGGGGCTGTGTTAGCGCGCTTAGGACCGTGCGTTCTGGCTAATTCGATGACGCAGGACAAGTCTTTGCCAATTGCATCGCCTCATATAAAGAGCAGAGTCAACAAATACGCTACCAGCTACGTTAACAAAAGACCAAAAATGGGCCGAGTTTTAAGGCAACATACACTTCAAGGGGGTAGGTGTTCAAGCTTGCTAACTCCAGCTATATTTGCTTCACAACCATCAACATCCACGCCTCACGATCCTACTCCATAGCAGCCAACTTTGCCTTCTTAGCCTTCTTCTTGCTCTTCTTACTTTCTGGCGCTACAGGTGCTTTCAGATCTCCTAGCTCGGCCAATGCTCGCTCAGTCCCTTCTTCTGCTTGCGCAACACCATCGGTCTTCGTCTCCGCATCGACAGGAGTTATCGAGGGCTGCTCGACCTGCATCACCGAGTCTGAGCGCACGTGAAGCGGTGCTTCGTTCGTCTCTGGGACTTTGTCACTTGTACTGACTGGTTCCGGCTTCCTGTTCCCCATCTGCTGGTACGTCTTTGAGGACTTGAAGTCCAGCTCGTCTGTGAAGGGCTCGAGCGTTGCTGGCTTTTGCTCTACCTGAGGTTCTTCAAGCTTCGGAGCGACTTCTTCAGTGAGCTTCGATACTATTGCGTCTTTTATGATTGGTGCTTCATCTACGACATCCTTTGGTGCAGGCGCCGAGACCGGTTTCGTTGCGGGTTCTTCTACCTCTTCCTTCTTAGTCGGCGCAGTCGCAGAAACAGCGTCTTCAACACCGGTCGGCTCATGTAGCTCCGGCACGATCTCAGCTGTTGGAGTGGACGCTTCTTCATTATTGACCACCGGTGTCGCCGGCGCTCGAGCGTAGTTACTCATCACAGTCTTCCAGACGAGCTGTAGAAGCCTGCTATTACCCTCCACCGTCGTAATGAAGTCCGGCTTTCGGAACGGCTCTGGATCGTCGGCCATGGCATTGTTGAGCGACTGTTCAACATAGCTCGGATACCATAGATCATCTTCCGGCAGCAGAGGGAATGCGTGGTCCCTCGCTACGGTAAGGATATCGAAGATGCTCATCTCTTCGTCGAGAGACTTCATCTTGTTCTGGGCAAGCTCAGCAAGACCGGGTAGCTTGTAGCGAGCGGCAGCACAGTATACACCTGCGCCCAGCTTGTAGACTTCCGGGATGACTTTGTCGGATGATGCCAGTGTGTTGAGACTCTGGTATTTACCGGTATACAGGTAGTGTACAAGAGTGTGCGCTGTATTCAGATCCAGCTCCGGGAGAAGTACGGATTGCTTGACGAAGGCCAATGGATAGGACTTTGCGGCAAGAACCTCGCTACGGCTCAAGACACTGTCATGAACGAGGAAGCGTGTTGCTTCTGGTCCAACTTCCAGCGATACCATCTGTGTGGTTGCATAGGGGCTGCAAGAGACTATCAGCGCCATACTGAAAATCGGTGGTGATATGTAACTTACGAGACCTCTTCAGGGCTGACTGCTAGATCCCCCGTGCCATACGCGTATCCACCCAAACCGTCATTGTCGTGCGATACGTCCAAGGTAGAGTTATCGCTAATAGACATGTTGTACTAACACCAAAGGACGCCTGCTGATACCCGCCAGATTCCAGACGAAACACGTCCCTTTAACCCATCGCGACAACTTCTCCCAAGATGAGGCTCAAAACACATGCGCTGTCACATATTACAAGACGCGGGGTCTGTATGCACTCATGAGTTGTCAGTTCGATGGCATTCTCAGCCTTGTGGCTTCGATGATCCCGTTGGTCAGCCTGATCGTCCTTCACTGCACCCCGCGAATGCTGCGTCCAATTGACAAAGACGGATCGATGAGCTGAGCAAAACCGGTGAGATGGGGCGTAGATTTATCTGGAATTATCTTTGGTTTATGCGCTCAGACCCGATGGCTGGATGGGCGCGCTATCGCTGGTAGCCTGCGATCTAGACTGTTCGTCGTTCGCCGCGGAACTCAGCGTTCCTCGTGGACCGGGAACTCTTCTCCGAATAATATTGTGATCGGAGCAGGGTACTATGCGGATGTCGAGATAGAGGACATAGTCGAGGACAAGAGATGTCGGTTGAAGTCTCATTATCCTTCCCGGAAGATCGACTCATTGGAAGGAACGAAATGTCGACCCTTGCGAGGTTGTAGTCAGCCGCCACATCTCACCTTCACCACGTGTGAGGCGCGGAGACAAAAGAAGATATCTTGGCAACGACTAGGATGGAGATTTAGGGTACGGAAGGCATTACTATGAAAGATAATCGAGATCTAGACATGGTATGTCGCGTTCTAGATATGATTGACGAAACGGAGGGTGAATTGAGTCCCAGGATAGGAATGAGTCAACACCTCTAATCGCAGCGGCCGAGCGTGGATGTTCGAAGGTTTTGTGTTCTACGGGAGACAATTGCCGTCGTACATGATGCAATCGCAGTCCGCGGACGGACCCTGAGGACGCACAGTGGGAACGTACGGCGTGCCACTTTACCTAGAATGGCATAGCGCGACTGTGCCTCAGCCTCCGCCCACAAGTGCACCAAACGCTACCGTACTTAGTTAAGTACGGCTGAACATCATTTGCAATGTTGACCTCAGCTTCCTCAATGTCAGCCGCGTCTGGTATTAATCCATAGAATCAAGCTGCAATGTCGGAAATATACACAGTTCAAACCACGAACTCGACGTCGTCAAGTCACACAAATACGCTGCATCTTCCAACAAGTCTTAGTTTCTGGATACTCAGCGTCGTCAGTGCCTACTGGCTTCTCGTTCGCACTCTCCGGTACAGGCGTCGCGATGGCCTCACTCACCGCTTGAATGTAAAAGCAATACTATCAACACTTCCAATCCCGCACGGCTGACAAGCAACCCAGTACCCCGACCGCTCTTCATGGAGTCGCATGACTGTTAAAGATGCGCACTCAGTACACGTTTCCCTTGCTGAACTCGAATTCCCAGTCGTATTCCAAACTTCCACATTCTTCGCCCTTTTCAAAACTTATGGCATTCCCAGTATTTCGAAGCTGCTTGTCGCAACAGGACAGCTGTCCTGCCCGGAAACAGCATCGAAACGAGCTGCTGATACTGCTACCATCATGACCGAGGCGATTATTAACAAACCTGATTCCGAACGCGCCATCAGCGGCATAGCACGAATGAACTATCTCCATAGTCGGTATATCAAAGCGGGGAAGATATCGAACGACGATATGTTGTATACGCTCAGTCTCTTCGTTCTTGAACCTATCAGATGGACTGCCAGGTACGAGTGGCGAACTGTGACGGACTTTGAGAGATGCGCCATGGGTGTTTACTGGAAGGATATGGGCGAGGCGATGAAGATATCGTACGATACTCTACCTTCAGCAAGCCAAGGATGGCGCGACGGTTTCCACTGGCTCGAAGAGGTAGAAGCATGGAGTTTGGCATACGAAGCTCAGAATATGGTACCTGCTGAGACAAACGCGACGCTTGGTCGTGGTACTTTCGATGTCGCCTTATTCAACGTACCCTCCGCTCTCAGGCCTTTCAGCTTTACCGTGGCATACATGTTACTCGAGCCGCGCTTGCGGAAAGCGATGAAGTGAGTGGAAGATGGAGCTCTCACTTGACCCACGTTGCTGACCACTATCAGCATACCGAAACCCCCTGCCGTCTACTACCGATGTCTAGAAACATTGGTCGAGATTCGCAAGTTCTTGCTCCGAAACTTCTTCCTCCCACGTCCGTACTTCCTACGCCCGGACTGGTTTACAGAGATCGATGAGCGCACTGGCCGCGCCAATGCTGGTCAATATATTGACAGACCGTGGTACGTCAAGCCGTCGTTTATGAAGAGGTGGGGTCCAAACGCGTTATTACTGCGACTAGTTGGGGGTGTCGTGCCAGGTGACCAACGATATCACCCAGGAGGATATCGGATTCACGAACTTGGTCCTTCAGAGCTTGTGGGGAAGGGTGATGCCGAGATGCGGAATACGAGAGATGAGTTGAGAGCGAAAAGAATGGGGTGTGCGTTCTCTCACTGATGGACTGGGCTTCGTTCATGCGTGTAAGGCGCTTGGATTTCTATGAAAAGGCTGCAGTGGCAACTAATGGAAGTAACAACGTTGACGATGTAAGATGCGTAGCATACGTAACGAAGGGGTGTCACGCATGAATCCGCTGAGGTTGATAGAGGTGAAGCGGAAGCTTGTGGAGAACAAAGAGAGATACGAGGGTCCACGTCGGAATGGTTCCGCACCCGCATCCAATGGCGGAACCCCGCGTCCACCCCGCGATGCTACATATGGAGCAATTGCACTCTGATACTCTCTTCAACATCACAATCTTGCAGTATTCCTTTTATCCAGAGAAGTACAGAGTATGGCGACTACAAAGGTAGCTCTCATTACCGCGAGCTCAGCAGGTCTGGGCGCGCAGATTGCACGCGTATTTGCACCAGACTTCCGCGTGGTATGTATACACTTCTACAATCACATGTCTACCTATACACTACCTAGATATCTACTCACCTCAGATCGCTTAAACATTCGACATGTGTTGAGCCTTACTTGGTTTCATACAAATCCTTGCTGCTGGCACTCATGCATGCTGTTTAAATTCCAGTCATTTCATAGCCCTCACACTCATGTTATCAGCGCATGAGCACCAACAAGACCAGCTAACAGACCCAGGTGATAAACTATTCCTCAAACTCCGACCGAGCCGCCACCCTCATGAAAGAGCTCTCCTCCATCCCCGGCCCCTCCTCCTCATGCACCCCCCGTTTCCACCTCATCCAAGCCGACATGTCCTCGAAACCCTCCGTCCAAAACCTCGTCCAAGAAACCATCTCAACAATGGGCCGCCTCGACGTCGTCGTCTCAAACGCCGGCTGGACGCGCATGACCACCTTCACCGACATCGAGCAACAGATAAACGACGAAGACTGGGACAAGTGCTTCACCATGAACGTAAAAACGCACATGTGGCTCGCCTACGCCGCGAAAGACGCCTTAGCCTCCACCGAAGGCACGTTCATCTCCACAGCAAGTGTAGCGGGAGTTAAGCCTAGTGGGAGCAGCGTGCCGTATGCTGTTACGAAAGCGGCGCAGATCCATCTCGCGAAGAGCTTGGCTGTTATTCTCGCGCCGCGGATTAGGGTGAATAGTATTAGTCCTGGTATGTTGCTTACGGAATGGGGCATGAAGTTTCCGGAGAAGAAAAGGGAGGCGGCGATACAGAATACTAAGTTGAAGAGGTTGGCTACTGTGGAGGATTGTGCGGAGCAGGTTAGGGTGCTGGCGCTTAGTAGGAGTATTACTGGGCAGAATATTTCGATTGATGGGGGGTCTTCTGTGTAGGGGAGGGTGTGGTTAGTTAGGAAGGAGGGGGTGGTTGAGCAGGGTTGGACTGGGCATGTTTAAACGGGGGATGGTGCGTTGCGCTGAGAAGTAGCAGAGGGTCTAATGTAACTGAGGAGAACGTCTTAGTCGTGAAGGAACATGCGTTCTCGGTATTACAGGTGCCTAGAGTTTCAGGCTTGGGATTGTCAATTCCGGCGGTATTGTAAGCTGACCGCATAGAGCTTCACTATGGAAACTATATGCATGGTCTGTCAGAACCACAACTTTCTATTCTTGACGTGCTCATCTCTATAGTATTCCATAGAAACGGTCTGGCAAGGACCGGTGGAACGATCGTGAGACTCTAATGCAGCTTGTGCTACATCAAGACTCATTTGACTTTTGTGCGACGTATACGTTGTGCACTGTGTATATTTTCGGCGTGTTTGCTGTCGCTAGCCTGACGGATGAGGTTTGAGCAACCACGGGCTTACTTCCGTTGCACAGGTCTGTGGACGACGCTGAATAGGGCGTGAGGTATGCTCTGAAAATATTTTTGAGCCATGTAAGATGGCGACTGTTCCCAGCCACGCGCAGGTACCAAGCAGATCAGCCGATTCGTGTATCTCGAATGAATAAACAGTGACAGCATCGGTGGCGCACTCGCTGCGTCGGCTGCCACAGGTCGCCGTCTCTAGTCGAGCTCCCGTCCCGCCAACAGTATTGCCCAGCACGGTAGTGAAGAGGCACACGTCAATGAAGGAACAGAAAGAGTAGCCAAGCTGACTCGCTCTTACACCAAGCTATCTGTACAAGACATCCACTCTAGAGTCAGCAAGACAAGCCCGTCGGAGAATTGATAGGGCGCGATGCACCAATGATCCGCTCCCAGGTTACTCCAAACGCGTAGTCAGGGCTCCGGCTTCGGAGCGCAGCCATTGACCCGGCGGGTTTTCGCATCCTACGAAACGTGCTTGAATTGCACAACATGCGATACGTCGAGATAAACAAGTACGATCCCACCCGTCAATAAAGCTGGCGTGGAATGCCAATCAAGGATGCGAAATATGTGGAAAGTGGCTGGTCGCGTGCGAGCCAACGATGCTGCTGTGTCCAATTCCAGTTTCCCCACGCCAGACGTGTGCCACAGTATCGACCTCTCCACGAGCCCACCACGGCGGCCTTGAGACCCACCGCCTCGCTTCTGGGGACACTCACATGCTTTCGCGACAGTTTGCCGCCAAGGGTTGCCGGACGGGTACGGGAGGCTGACATGCAGCTGAGCCCTACTGCATGCCACGCCGCACGGGTCGTGGTGCAAAAGAACACAACGGCTTCAGCTGGTCAGGCCAGTTGATGTTGTTTCGTGTCAGCGCGTAGATGCAAAGAAAGACGAAGGTTTGATTGCTTCTGAGATGCCTCCCACTCTCAAAGTAAGCTGCTGGCAGGCGTATCCAGGTCGAGCTCGCCTCAGAGTATGCGGACACGGGCATCGGGAACCAGGGTCTCACAGTCTTCGCGCTCCGGCATGTTGCCTGGCTCGTTGGAAATAACTCTGAGCTGGTTCGAAAATAGTCCCAGTTTGGGCGTTTGACGAGGTTAGCTGCTGCCCTTGTGGAGACTCGTTACTGGATGCGGTAAGATACGGTACGACAGTGGCCGCGGTCAGTTGAAGAACCACAGACGATGGCCGGTCGGACGGGTGTCTCGATCTGCTCAACCACAGCCGGATTTTGCACGCCGCGGGCCTTCTGCAGGGCGTGCGCTCAGTAGCGCCGTGTCGCAACGGCAAGACCAAAAAACCCAAAAGATTGGGTGTCGAATCGTCGTTGGGCGCCCGATGTTCGCCCGACTGCGGTGCCGCGATGTCGCGAGACCTGGGGTGAGATGCACTAGGCACGAGGAGGATGCGAGCAAACCGCCGTGGTCGTCTTATCGCACACAACGTATGTGAATCGCATAAACAGATGGCCAGGGACGGGGTGGCGTTGGCTGGTGTCTAGTGAGAACGCGTCGCGACGGCCGGCGAAGATGCGGCACCCAAAGCAGCTAGCGCGCTCGATCTCCGAGGCAGCAGCTGATTGGGCGACGCGGTTCTCTTATCTCTGGCCAGAAATGCAATTGACACACGCAACCTGGACCACCCACTCGCCAAGCCTTCCGCCCCGGATGAAACTGGCGTTGCCTGTAATCGTTATGCGAATTCGTGTTGAGCCCGTGGTGAGAGGCGCCGCGCGAGGCCTGTCCCTACAAGCTGACGCGACGTGGCCGCCGGTGTGGGTGGGCGATGCGCCTTATCACGTCTGCTTCGTCGTCACATGTTTGCAGAGCAGCGAGCCGGCGAGATAAGGCGTTAGATCGTTAGAGACAGCAATGACGCAGCTCCGATCAATCGCGGCAGAAAAAGAACAAAGCTCCATGGCTGGATCTAACGCGAACCCCACGACGGTCGCGGCTGTGGGTGATGTACCCTCGTCTATTTTGCCTCGAGTGATGGCCCGTGGACCAGGATAGATAAGAGTAGTACAGCAAGTTCCACCCATAAAGGTCCCGGCGCATCTACCGTAATCTACAGTAGGGCTTCCGGAATCTCCCTGTAGCAGCTTATATTACTGGCACCGATCCAGCTTTTGATCCCTTCTCTTTTCTTCCACAGGCCCTACCGTGGAACCGTCCTCCCTTTCCCCATAGTACTTAAGGACCCCAGATCTCCTTAGTACCCCGACAATCCCCTAGGACTTCCCTCACCATGTCGTACTCGTGGGTCGGCCCTCCGGCGCAGTTCAATGGCACCGATGATATCACTGGTGGTGACTCTGGTGAGTACAAGTCCCCATGTACCATTGCGCACGTGCCGAGCGCAACATCCGCATCGTGTGCGACACAAGGCTAACATGAACATCAGTCACCGAGAACTTGAACCAATGGTTCTCTGCGGGTGACCAGGCCTACATCCTCGTGGCTTCGGCCATGGTGATGATCATGGTTCCTGGTCTCGCATTCCTCTACTCCGGTCTTGCTCGCAGAAAGTCCGCCCTCTCCCTCATCTGGGCCTGCATGTTCTCCGCCTCCGTCATTACCTTCCAATGGTACTTCTGGGGATACTCGCTCGCTTTCGGACCCTCAACGAACGGTTTCATCGGAAACCTCGACAAGTTCGGTCTCAAGGGCGTTCTGGCTCATCCCAGCCCCGGTAGTCCTTTGATCCCAGAGTTGCTGTACTCCTTCTACCAGGTACGAAAACCATTACTATGAACCGGTTTCGACGAACTAACACAATCCAGATGCAATTCTGCGCTGTCACTGCTGCCATCGTCGTCGGTTGCGTTGCTGAGCGCGGTCGCTTAATCCCCATGATGGTCTTCATCTGGCTTTGGGCCACGATCGTATACTGCCCCGTCGCATACTGGGCCTGGAACGCAAACGGCTGGTTCTTCGCATGGGGTGGACTTGACTACGCCGGTGGTGGTCCCGTCGAGATTGTCTCCGGTTGCACCGCCCTCGCCTACTCCATGATTCTCGGACGTCGCCAGGAGAAGATGATGCTCAACTTCCGCCCTCACAACGTCTCCTTGATCACCCTCGGAACCGTCTTCCTGTGGTTCGGCTGGTTGGGCTTCAACGGTGGTTCCGCTTTCGGTGCCAACCTCCGCGCTGTTATGGCATGCTGGAACAGCAACCTTACCGCCATGTTCGCCGCCATGACTTGGGTTCTCCTCGATTGGCGTCTTGCTCGCAAGTGGTCCATGGTCGGATGGTGCTCAGGTGTCATCTCCGGACTTGTCGCTGCTACTCCCGCTTCTGGTTTCTTGCCTCCATGGGCCAGCGTCATCCTCGGTATTACCACCGGTATCGTTGCTAACTTTGCCACCAAGAGTATGTACATTGTCAAAACCTTCCCGCGAACAGCTCGCTAACATCCATCTAGTCAAGTTCTGGATCAAGATCGACGATTCTCTCGATGTGTTCGCTGAGCACGGCGTCGCTGGAATGTGGGGTCTCTTCTTCAACGGAATCTTCGGTGCCGACTACATCATCGGACTCGACGGAGTCAACAACGGCCTTACCGCTGGTGCCATCACCGGCGAGCCCGCCGCAATCTACAAGCAAATCGCCTACATCGTCGCCGTAACCGCGTACTCCTTCGTCGTCAGCGCCATCCTCGCCTTCGTCATCGACAAGATCCCCGGCCTCAAGCTGCGCGCATCTGAGGAGGCAGAACTCCTCGGTATGGACGACGACCAGCTCGGCGAGTTCGCCTACGACTATGTCGAGGTCCGCCGTGACTACCTTGCATGGACTCCTGCTAAGGGCGAGCCCATCGACGGCGAGCACTCTGTACCCCAAGGCGAGCGCCACGGCATCCCCCAGCACAGCCAGATGCTCGAGGGCAAGGCACCATCGGAACACAGCTCAGGCCACGAGCACACGGGCATTGCGGGCGACAGGCACGCGGTGGCCATGGGCTCCGAGCACGAGAAGCAGGTTCAAACCTAAGGCTTTTTCTCTTTGCTGCCTGCGCATTGCTGATTTGGATTTGTTGCTTGCGACTTTTTTGAGTCAATTACCCGTTTCGAGATACCACCTTGCGCTCCTGCTCTCCGTCTTTGAGCTGTGCTTTTTGACATATACATTTAGACTCTTGTATTACAGTTTTTTCTTACACCTCATGTATTGTACATAATTCGAGAATGGATACATCAAACATCACTATCTCCACCATTTGCTAATAACCCACGTGCATTCCAAATCACGTCAAACTCATTCAATCCCATATCGAATCCTTCCATAATACCGACACGCGCCCAGCCTTTCTTATCATGCTAAGCAAGGCCAACTTAGTCCGTTCAGCGAATGGCGTCCACCACACATCCATGCCAAGCCTACTCTCCTCACTTTCTTATCTTTTCCCGCTCCTAGAGGACCCGTCGATCGACTGAACCCCGGATTGACGCAGCGATATGATGTCAGTTCACCAACGCTACCACTGAAGTGAGCCTGACGTCTGCACGATGCAG